GTTATATACAAAGTGTTGTGAGAAATATTTCAAGTATATCATCCTACTTTCATCCATGTATATATATCTTGAACCATCTATTAAAATAAAGTGAAATTTTGGTAAATAATTTGATTGAGGATTTATTGTTAACTTCTTCACGGCTTCATATATATATATATATATATATCTCACAGGTTTTCCATTTTATGATTGTTTATATTTTTATGAACTATGTGTCATTTTCTATTTTTGTCTAACTTTTTCTCATTTTCATCAAAATATAATGGATCCATACTATGCTTCTAAATTGGTCCAAAACACCTGATAAAAATTTAGACTATAGAAAATATTACCTAATATGTGATATACTATTTTTCCCTAAAATCCAAAAATAGTGCACACTTTGAAGGACTATTCTAAATAATGTGAAATTTTTAGGAATGGTTATAATTAGACTAAGATGGACCTATGTTAATGGTTTTTTTCTTTTACAAAAAAATTTGATATTTTTATGAATTATTCAGATTTTGGAGTTTGTGTTATTTTTAAATTTTGGCTAACTTTTTTCTATTTTCTTAGAAATATCATTGATTAATACAATTTTTTTGAAATTTTAAAGTAAATGATATTTAATATAATATAAATGATGATTCCAAATGATCTGAAATTTTTAGAAAATATTTAAAATAACTCAGATGGTCATATATCCATAATTTTCTATTTTAAGGATTTTATTTTGATATTTTTATGAATTATTTGTCATTTTCTATTTTTGCCAACTTTTTCTCATTTTCACAAAAATATGGATCCATGCAATGTTTTTTGATATTGAGCTTCAAAATTGGTCTAAAATAACTGATAAAAATTTGGGTGAAAGAAAATATTTCCTAATATATGATGTACTATTTTCACCCAAAATCTTGAAAATAATTTATCGCATAGAAGGACCGACCCAATAGACCTAAAAAATTAAGAAAAAACTTCAATTGAATCTAAATGGACATATGTCACTTGTCTTCTATTTGAAAATTTAGGAAAAACTATGTGTCATTTTTATTTTTTACCATTTTTTTATATTTTCACATAAATATCATGGATCCATGTAATGTTTTTGACATTTGAGCTTCTAAATTGATCCAACATACCATGTAAAAAATTAGAGCATAGAAAATATATTATAATATATGATGTATTATTTTTACCCGAAATCCAAAAATAGTGTGTATCGCATGGAAGGATTGATCCAAATGATATAAAATTCTTAGTAAATATTTGAATTGGAGTTAAATGGACATATGCCACTAGTTTTTTTATTTTAGAAATTCTTTTTTGATATTTTTATGAATTATTTGACTTGCAAATTGTGTGTCAATTTTTATTTTTGGCCAGTGTTTTTTTTTATTTTCAAGAAATATTATGGAATATTTTTTGATATTTGAACTTCTAAATTAGTTCAAAATACATGACAAAAATTTGGGATAGGAAAAATATTTCCTAATATATGATGATGTATTGCTTTTGCCTAAAATCCAAAAAAGTAATGCATTGCATCGATGAATTTGTCCAATAGATCTAAAAATTCTTAGGAAAGACTTCAATTGGACCCAAATGGTCATAAGTCATTTTTCATTTTAATTTTTTATATTATTATGAATTATTCAGCTTATGAATTATGTGTCATTTGCTATTTTTGGCCAACATTTTCCCTTTTCCCATTATTCAGCTTTCAATATTTTTTGACATTTATTCTTCTAAATTTGTCTAAAATACCAGATAAAATTATGGGCATATAAAATAGAGCATGTAATGTAAAAAGTGAATCTACTGAAACTAACAATTCCAATATTACTTGCGTGAACTTTGGACAATCAAGCAGTTTGAAAATATTAAAGCATATTTAAACTACAAATGTACATGTCACTCTAAGTAAGTTTTCACTAAGCCACTTCAAAATTATAATTCAATTTTAATAAGCTGCTATAATTTCGATCTAAATGTCATTGCCCTCAGGTTACTTGATGGATGATTATATCTAAATTGTTGGCATTTTGAATACTTTTTTTTTCTTTCTTGCATTCAATTCTTACTGTCTTTCTTTTAATTGCCTACGTCATAATTTTTGAAGGTAATACAATACCATCGTATTCTCATCATATATAATATTTTTTTTATAAAAAATATTTTATCATTGTAGGTCTTTTTTAAGATGTTTGCTCTATAATAATCTTCACAAAATGAATATGAATTACCTAATAGTAATCATAACATGTGAATATAAAATTATCAAAATATAAAAATACTGATATGAATAATTTTTTTTTCTTCTAAATCTACTATAATTGTTTGAATAGGTCTTGACACTTACAATATGAGGAAAGACACCATAGTATAAACCCTTGTCCTTTGACAAGTTGATGTAGAATCATTAGGTAATCTTTTCTCTTAGTCATTTTTATCATAAAGATAATAAGTAAGTTATACACATCCTTTAGCAATGAATTCATACTTACTTTCTGATGCATTTGTGGTCAGCATTATATAACAACGATCATAAAAATATACAAAAACCCATTTCTTATTCTTAATTTTAGATATTCATATAAAAGTTTTTTTAATGATTTTTTCTCAACTTTTTTATATATTCATTAAACTTGTACATACTAGGGGATCTAACAATAGTCTAAAATAGTTGAAAGATTTTTAAATAGATGTATGAAATGAAGATTGGTGTACTACTAGGAAGATCTCTTTCATATTTAAAATTTTTTTAGATTTTGATCACCAATAATAATCCATATAATCAATGAAAGAACTACTGCATTCCATATAATCCATATTAATCTTGGCAAATTACAATCATGCTTTTTATAAAACTTGATAATTTAGAAACTATTAATTCCATCACAAGATACTGTCATTTATTACCAATCGAAACTTTACATTTCACTTTTATTTTATAACTTCTAGTTGCATGACATAGTCTTCAAGAATTTTTAAATTTCAGCCCTATCTCAAGACACCTAGATATTATTTAGATTATAAAATAATAAATAAATAAATAATATAATTTTAATGTCATTCAAATACTTATACTATACGTGACTAACAAACATATCATTATATTATATGAACAATCATCATCTTTAGTGAAGAACTGGTGTTTAATAACACATCATATTCAACGTGTATTTATTCAACATTATCATACACATTCTGACCAATAACATCTAATGTATCATAAATATTAGGGTTTATGTCATCTTTAACCTCTTATTGTATTCTTTCTTTAGCTGATTCATTTTCTAATAAATATATCACCATCATCATCATCTTTATCATAATAAAAAAGATCATTCAAGTTATTTGGCAAATGATGTTCACCCAAACTTGATATCTCACATAATATCCGTATATCAATATCGTCAAGAACTAAAAATACTTCATTAGGATCTTCCCTATAATGAGATAATTAGAAATAAAAAAAATATTTTTTGGAATCAATGAATCGAATCAATATAATAGTAAAATGGATTGTAACACATTAGCTTCTAAGAAAGTACAATATGAAAGAGACATTTTTTCAAAGAAATCAATATACTTGCATGATATTTTGTATCTTCTGGATTCAAGATGAAAGGAAAAGAGATAGAATAAGATGAAAAAAAACTGTAGCAACCCACATATGAAAGAGAAATAAAGTCGATAAAGAAGAAGGAGATGGACAAAGAAAAATTAACCAAAGAGAAGTATTTTCTTCTTCATCGAGAACAACACACACTCATACTATGACAACAGTTTATTTATCGTAGTTAAAATGTTAAACCAGTAGTAAACTATCTCAACTCGAATCAATCAGCAAAGAATCTACAGTCCAAAAGTCACTATTTTAGATGAAAAAAATAGTGACTTAGGTGTTTTAAGGGTAAATGGATAAAATAGCTCACCAAAAATATTATTCGAGTAAATTTTTTTTAAAAAAATGTTCTATGGGAAAAAGGTAAAGTTAATTTTTTTTTCAAAAAATTACGCAATTATTAATCCCCCATAATAATACTATTTTCACCCAGAACTATAATTAATAATTATTATGGGATTACAAGTAGTTGAACGACATGATTTGGTTTGCTCTTCCATTTGATGTCCTACCTTGGCACATCACATTAGAGTCAGTCGGCAGGCAGGTGGGGGATCCGATCCATCCACAATTAATTCACATGTGATCCCAACCACCTTTTCATCTTTTATTATCTATCTTGCTGTAATGCTGTGTGCCTTTTCTTTTGTGGTCCCTCCCCGACTTGACATGGGAGCTTTCCGCATGCCATCTTCTTTTTCTGTCTACCTCTTCGAATCCATGCTCCACCACCCACCATATGTAGTGTGGTTTGATCTCAGGAGCAAAGGTGAGAAGCCCATCTTCTTATATGTTAGAGTTTAATATAGTTTTTCTTGAGATTAATAAGTACCCAATCTTTGTCAGGTTTTTAGCCAAATTTTATGCAAACTCACTCCCTTTTAGTGACAGCCCATTAGGAAGGAAGGAAGACCTCCTCCTCCTGTCAGGTTTTTGTTTACCTTTCAACATTCTTACATGGAATTAATATGTAGCAAAGAAAGGAACAACATAAATATGCTTTCAAGGATTGAAAATGCTGTTCACGGCGGTGCTTCTTCCTATTATCAGCAAAATACACGGTCCTTAAAGCAGCCAATCAAGCAGCTGCACTAATCTTACATGACAAAACAACTCGGCAATTTGGAAAATGCCTTTTGTCACAAAAATCAAAACAAAAAGAAATTGCTTTCTGGGTGGGAAGGGCGTGTCCCATCACTGCCTTTTCCCTTTCCCTTTCCCTTTCCCTCTCTACATTTGAAAGTAGGGAACGGAAAAACCAACACCGTATCTGCTCCGCTCTCTTCTCGCTTCTCTCCTCTCTCTCATCTCACCGCTATTAGTCGAGCATGATAAATACTAAATCGAGATTTAGGAGAAGGCCATGAGGCTTTACAGACCTCTCTCTCTCTTCCTAGGCCTCAAATCCTAAGGCCAGCGGAGATGGGAAACCACTTCCGCCGCCTTGAGACGCCCGCCTGCGCCTAGGGTTTCGCTTATCGGCGTTCCGCCGCCCGAGGCGCCTCCACCAGCACCACTTCCGCAGGCGGCGAGAGCATGTCGGCAATGCAGTCGAATGTGGCTCTTCTTCGGTCTCTCTGCTGATAATGGCGCTCGATCGCTGCTTCCTGTGATGGTTTCTTCGGCTTGGAATGATGCGCGTGTTCGCGATGCTTGTGCTTTGTCTTCACTTGGGTACTCTTTGTTGCGGTATTCTCCCGAACCCTTCGTTTGATCCGTCTTCTTCTTTTGTTGCGAATTTCTTTTCGTTACTTCCTTGGGGTGCTCAATAGTTCTGCACTGTGAGGCCGTACACGTTGGTTGCCCAATGATCTTATCATACGTGAAATCCTATCCCTTCGCCTGTCAGAACGGTTCGAATAGCATCTACTAATATCACCGAAAATATTGTGAAAATACTTCTACGAGAAGGTTTTATTGAAAACGTTCGGAAACATCAGATAAATTTTTAAGTGCTGTTGATTTGCAGGAATCTAATCGAGAATTCTACCAGGTTTGGGTGGTGTTTTCGTGTTTGCTGAAATAAAAAAAAAGAATTTAAGTTGTTGGTTTCCCTCCGTATTGTTATTATTGAGACCTAGATCTAGAGTATTTTCTTTATTTATAGTTTGCTTTTTGGAAAAGAGAAGTAAACATGCCTTTGGTTTGGGTGGTGTCTTGATCAAGATTAACCTTTGTGTATAATATGATTTTCTCCTTCATTTTTTGATTTTTTGAGTACATAACTGATGAGTGGAAATTCCATGTTTGTTTTATTCTTGTATTATGGACTGCAAACACTCTCTGTCATCTCCGTTCTTTGGAGGAGTTCTATAATTGTGCACCCTACTTGCTTATGTTTGGATGAGGAATGATCGGTTAACTCGTCATCAAGGGGTTTCCTTTTCCTCTTACAAACTCCCCGCCCCTTGTCTAAATATTTCTTTTATAGGAACTTCTTTTATAAAGTTTAGAGACCATAAAAATGACAGTTAGTTGTATAGTATTTCTTGAATAACCATTCCTTAATTTGATGACTCTCTGACCTATATCCAGGTTCAAGGCTTGGATGATATTCTCTCTAATGCACCAAGTCATTGCACTTCAATACTCATTCTTTCAAATTCTGGACATGATAACCAATTGGAAAATTGATTGCTAATTTTTGTTTAATTCTTATGATTGTTGACTCATTGTTGTTGTGCTGATTCATTGTTAACAATGAGATAAAACAAGTGGTTGATACATTTTTTATATGCACAAACTGCTCATGGGTTTTACTCTCTTATTAAAATAACTCTAAATGGGAATTAAGTTTTACATGAAATTGTCCACATCCAAAAACTGCCAAGTGGATATGCATCAGAAGATATATTTTTATTTTCATAATTATGCAAGGACTATTACATATTGCCCTGAAAGTGCTAAAGTGATGTACATTTCAAAGTGTACTGAACATATATATATTCTTAATTGAAGTGTTTATTCTTGGCTGAGCTGACCCGAGCTCATATCATCTATTATATATAGCAATTTATTGCATAATTTTACAAACCTGCTGCCTGAGGTGTTTCACTGGATACATACCGTTTCGTCTGGTTATCAACATGTGGACCACATTGAACTAGGAGCTTTGCTACCTTAGGTCCTTAACAAGGCTTACAGCATGATTATGAACTGGGTGGTAAGCCCAATTCTTTCCTTAATAGTTTTATTTTTTGAAACCATAATAACACAACCGTTCTGACATCTCTCTCTTTCCTCATATAGTCTCCCCACACTCATCGTCTGTCACACTGACTGCCGCCTCCTACACCCATCCACCTCCCTCCAACGATGGGGCTATTTTGGTATTCCTCCTCTTCTTCTTCTTCTTCCTCCTCCTCCTCCTCCTCGTCCTCCTCCTTCTCACCTTTTCATCTTCCACTTCTTCTCCTCCCCTTTCTTTGTACTGTGATATGCTGGAATGAGTCACCAAGGATAAATTACCCAAAACTGTAAACCTTGGTTTATTGTAGATATATATAGATTAATTTATTTTATATATGAATGCATTTTTTGAACCTCTTGTTAAACCAAGGTTCATCATGCTGAGTGTGGGTTGCTTATTATGATTGCAAATTGGATAACTACATGTTCATCATGCTGTAATCATTACTCGTGATCTTTGTTTTCTTTGTCATGACACCTTACAGCAATAAACAAATTGAGACCTGCACTAAGCCCTGCCAGATCACCTGAAGTTTTGCCCAAGGCAATCATGGGACCAGGACCTGCCCCAGCTTTTGCTCCAAAGCATCATGGTACTTGATATATTGTAACTTCATTGGCCTCATTGATATTTTTAGTATCTAATGAATATTCCTATTTTAGTACACAGTCATGGTCCTCTTGCAAAACATCACCACAGAATGCGTCATGCTCCATCACCAACATTATCTATTCCACCAAGAGGCCAAGGTTTGTTATCTATACATCCCTCTGTATTCCTGATTGTAACCCTATGGTTTATTTATTTAGGTCAATTTTTCTCCAGCTATAGTCAAACATTCTTTTGTCTGTTTACACCACTATCTGAAGTCTGAACATATGCTCTTTGTTATGACTTATGGAACAACCTGTATGTTCAGCAGATTGCGATGAAGTGATATGTTCTGAACCACTTACTTCGACTCCAATTGGTTCACCTTGTGGTTGTGTATCACCGATGCGAGTAGTTATTGATTTAGGGGTGGCTCCATATCTGTTATTTACACATATTGCAGAATTTGAAGTTGAGGTTGCAACAGGCACATTCTTGAAACAGAGCCAGGTAAAAATCATGGCTGCATTTGGTCTTATCCAGAATCAAGGGAAGACACGAGTTACTATTTACTTGGTACCTCTTGGTGAGAAGTTTGATACCACAACAGCTTTGCTTATTTATGAGAGGCTTTGGCAGAAAAAGGTGCCCATTGAGATCTCACTGTTTGGTGATTATGAAGTGATATATGTTCATTATCCAGGTAACACACTGTCTCTCTCTAGGATAATACTATTTATGTGTTTCGTGTAATTAGTCATCTGAAACATTGTTACAGGACTTCCTTCTTCCCCACCATCTGTATCTGATGGATCCACAGAGTTCAGGCCTAGCTACAATGGAAACCACCAATATCCCTTTACAGCAGATGTTTCAAGTGGCCGAGCTCGAAAATTGAATGCTGGAATCATTGCTGTAATTTCAGTTTCCTCGTTCACCCTTATATTGGCTTGTATTGGTATTGTTCTTTTTATCTTGAAGTGGAAAAATCTCAGGCAACCATCTCCTCCTCAGGGCTCTGCAGTTACCCAATCAGATACTGGAAGATCTGGTAAGAAAATGTTCAAACGTCTAACCACAGTGTGATCTCTTGCTTTTCGGCTATATTACATAACTTAGTTGCCTTTGCACAAATTGATATTATATCCAAACCCCCCCTGATTAAGCTTGCAAGACATACTTATATTGCTTTTAATGGATTTACATATGGTGCCTATATGTATGCGTTGTCAGTTAAGTAGATGAGTGCACATATACTTGAACTTTGGTTGCCAATTTCCATATATATAATGCAAGTATATGACTAGGATAGCCATTGCCCTTTAGAAAGATGGTTTCCACTTGTTTCTTATTTGAGAAAACTGAAAAAATGATTTATTCTATTTTGTTACAGTGATAATTGTACTTCTATCTTGAAACTATGTTGTGGTAAAATGAGATTCATGGTTGTTGTCGGTCTTATGATGGTTATGAACATTGATTTGTTCAATTGTGATAACAACGGGGATAATACAAGCTTGCTTTGTTTCACTATTTTGCCTAGATAAGCCCATTGGCCCACTAACTTAGATTAAATGGGCTGTGAATCATGCGACCCAAAATGTTTTAAGCCCATTTTGTGAATAGTGACACTGAGACTATTTAATGCTATACATGTGTGGGATCAATTTAGGCATCACCTGTTCCTTTTTTATTTTTAAAGGTTTGACATCGTCTCAAGACTGCAATCATAGGCCATAATCACACTTTGGTAAGTAGCATGTCGGTTCATTGGCTTCAATGGCAGCTCCACATTTTGATGTGCCTTTATATGGACCGATGGTTGTTCTTTCCTATTTTGGTCTGCTCACATCCATGGTGTAGCAGCTGTAGCAGTGCTTGACACACTCAATGTTGTTGCCAAACCAGAATTACTGCCACTTATCATGACTTTTGGCAAGCAAAACCATCATGTCCAACCATTGCCCTTACAACACTCGCCACATACCTACAATGCTACTGGACAACAAACTCTGCTTTGAATTGATGACAACACTTGTAGATAGAATGACAAGGCAAATTTGCATTGCAACAGTAGCTTGTCGACTCTCCAAATTCATGACCAATATCTCCCTCCATCGGCATTGCCGTCATGGCACCTTCACTTCAACTCTGCTATCTCAATTCATCGGCATCTTCCTCTCATCTTGATCTTGTTGTACCTGATGACAGTAGCAAACAGACAAGACCTGTCTCTTCCACTTTCCCCTTTTGTGCTACATAATCTGACTTAGTATCTGATCTCCTCCAGATCCAAGAAAAAATCATCCTATCACTTATAACAAATCCCATAATCCATTATCATTAGATTATTTAAATTCAACCAGGCATGTTTTCTAATATTAGTTGACTCCTCTCATGATCAACAACTATGTGGTCACTATTCTTGAATCATTAATCACATATTAGTTATATGAGATCAAAAGTAATGGGCAAGAGAAACAATAATCTAAAAGGAATCACAATACAGAAGATGAAAGACAAATTATTCGATTAAGAAAGTCCTATGGTCGATTGTTCACTCTCCAACTCCAATGACATTGCTCATTAGAAAGGCATCATATCTCAAATGAAACTATTCCTACTATCTATGACTCTAAAGGTACTTAAAATCATGCCACAATATCATGATACAATTTAGTTAGCCTAGAGTCCATTCCCCAAAGCTTAAGTTAATAGAAAATGACCCAAATACTCTTAACAAATCCATGCAAGCCAAATGAAGAATTAATGGGCTTGACATGTGGACCCAACTGCAAGACAAAGATACATGCAAAAGGGCTACAAGAGACCCATGTATGGGTGATTATACCTTGGGTGAAATATTTAAGCAGGTATTTAAGAGGTTTTTTTGAACTCATGACCTGATTTTGCATTATCACAACCTGACCCTAATAGACCGTCAGTACAATATCTCAGATATTTTGGGCCTTGAGTGAAGTGGCCTGAAGTGCTCAAACTAGAAGGCTGCATGGCAGATTGACTGGTTCCATTCAGTTTCTTTTTGATTGCAGTGTTGTAGGTCAAAGTATCTTGTGGTCTTTTAACTCGTGTTAACTATGGTAAAGCCAGTTGGTCTTTTGGCTAATCCTTGACCAATTCTTTAATTATGTCTGTTTACTGTTTACAATGCTCACCAAACTTTTCAATGGGATGAAAACTTGATATCAATAATATTGAAGGGAAATTCAAGAATTGAACAAAATAATAAAGAACTATGAATGTACATTAAGAACACAAAAGCAATGTCTATCTTAGCAAATGAAAAGGAAGAGATGCAGAAAACATGTAGCAATATAATTGTGATGCAGAAAGACAGCAACAAAATCCAAACTATTATTGTTTAGTTTATTGGTCAAGATTCTTGATATGGATTCAGATTTTAAAATATTGTATATAAAGTATGTGATTGCCAAAATATGTGTGAGATTGCTTTTGTATTTTTCCTCTTATTTAGTTTTCTGGCTTTCCTTATTTGTTGGTGGTCCTTCTCTTCCTAGAACAGAACATGATGAAACAATAAATACGAGGATAGATTATAGAAGGCTATGCAAGAGGTTGGAGGAATCTCATACTTGTTTGGTGAATGTCATTGTGGTTTTAACCATGATTCACCTTATTGGTTCGTACCAGTGTACCAATCGGCCATCGGTATGGCATGTACTGATCTATATTGATGTACCGACAAATGGTACGGCGAGGTATATCAATAAATCAGTATGTACCACCCATATCGATTCTCTATCGGACTGTTATGTACCACCCATACTAGGTAATATGCCATGGTATGGCGATCCTTGGTTTTATTGCTTCTCTTCCTTTGTAGAAAAAGAAGAAATAATTAACAAAAACCAAAAGGAAAGAAAGAGGAGAGAGGAAAAAGTGGAATCTCACCGTGGTTTTAGGTTTTTACAAAATTTTATACTAATGCCCTATTGAAGAGATGACATGGATAGAGATCACTCGAGGAAGCAAAACATGGAGAAACAGGAAGTGACACGCTATTAGAAGGCCACAAAGATCTCTAATCAGCAAAGTTGGCATGTTGTTTGTGTTCATTGGCTGGGAAATGACGATGAAAGGTTGATAAATTAGAGACAAATTGTCATTCCCTATGAAATAACATGTCTGATCAATTGAGGGATATAAGTTCTTAAATCCTATATCAAAAGAATTGCTAGAATGTTTCCTGATTTTAATCACAATTTAGTTAATCTCATTGATCTATGATGAAAACCACAATTAGCTGCTTATCATGAGCTGTGAGATGGGTTTTCAACTTACCTCAACATATATTAAACAAATTGATTTGGTGGGATCATTCCCATATTGGACAGAAGAACAGGCCCTTTAGTGCCAATGAATTAGTTCACATAAAACCACAACATGCTAAGTTGTTAGAAAGTGTAAGAAATATAATGGCAATACAAAATTTAAACAAGCAAGATATGATGTCAGATAAATTTGGACTTCTGTCATGTGGGAAAATTTTGAAACTCAACCATCAAGCAGCTAAAAATTAATATGAAAATTTTAAAAGAAAAGAACTTATACAATAACTTTTGGATGGGGATTGCACTTTTTTTCTCTTTGGCAACTTTGCTTTACTTGTCTTTGCTGCATTATGTCTTCTTCCACCTATTGTTGCTGATATTAACTGACTTCTGTCTCTTCTGCATCTGGAGTTATATGTTCATTTTTATTTAAGTAGTCAAAACTAAATCAATTATGCAAGGTCCTTGATTTGATGCAGGCATCAAGTCCACTATATCAAATAGCGTGGCTAGCTCACCATCGGCTTCCTTTATTTCGGTTATGGCTGCTTGTCCACCATCATTGAGGACATTTTCAATGGCAGAGCTTGAGAAAGCTACAGATAAGTTCTGTTCAGAAAAAGTATTGGGTGAAGGTGGTTTTGGACGAGTTTACCATGGGATAATGAATGATGGAAACGAAGTTGCAGTTAAATTGCTGAATAAGGGGAATCAAAATGGAGAGCATGAGTTCATTTCAGAAGTAGAGATGGTTAGTCGACTGCATCACCGAAATCTTGTCAAATTGATTGGTATTTGCATTGAAGGAAATAAAAGATGTCTGGTTTATGAGCTTGTTCGGAATGGAAGTGTTGAGTCCCATCTGCATGGTATGTGTCTATACAATTTCTTGTGGAATTGAATATCCAAACTTGTGTTTGTTTTTGGTCTTATCTTTTTTAGATGCCAAACAACTCATGCGTCCTTCCGTGAGACTCAGTACCAACTTTGTTGATATTACATTATACAGATGCTGAAGTATACTGAAAATAACAGCATGTAGATATGACATTTTCCTCTGAAAAGGAAGTCTAATATGACATAATACTTCCATAGAACATGGAGAATACATAATCTTATAAATAGTAACCGATAACAAGGGGCATCCATGACTCAATTGATAACTGAATAATTATTTTGTATGGTTACAATCATATCCATATGGTGGCACAAAAAAGACACTGTCTGCAAGTAAGATTATCTATTTTCAAGAAAACTTTGCAAAGTATTCGAAAATACCCTTGATGTGTTCTGTCTCAAAGCTATACATAACTATATATGTTACCATATTTCATGACTCCTACCAAGTAATATCAAATATATGTAACAACTGTTGAAATATTTGCAAAAAGAATTGTACCTTCTTTGTTCTACACCAATATGCTTCTTTGCTGAATCATTATAATTTCTATTGAAGATATATTTAATGGCTGAACCTGAAATTCCTGCAGCTTCATCTCTTGGTCTTGTAAATTGAAACCATCTTTTTCATATGGTCAGTGTATTAGTTAAATGCCCTGAAGTTATTGTCGAAATATTTTTAGAAGTTATTCTATTAATTTCTTTGTTATTGTTCTAAAATATTTTTAGAACTTAAACTCTCAAAATTTTAAGTTCTTTACTGAATATGACTAAGGATTTATTGGCTTAATGCTTTCGAAAGATTTGATATCATTCAGTGCACTGTATAAATTCCATGCCACTCTTTAGTTTTCTGGACCAATTTCTGATATCTTGCAACAATCTAATTATCTAGTAATTCAAAGCAGTGGACTAGGGCTGTTTGACTATTGTTACAGGTGCTGACAAGAAGAAAGGACCTCTGGACTGGGATGCACGGATGAGGATTGCTCTTGGTGCTGCTAGAGGCCTAGCATATCTACATGAAGATTCCAATCCTCATGTTATACATCGTGATTTTAAGGCTAGTAATATACTACTGGAGGAAGATTTCACAGCAAAGGTGACAGATTTTGGCTTGGCAAGAGAAGCATCTGAAGGAAGCCAACATATTTCGACTCAGGTCATGGGGACGTTCGGGTAAGATTCACTTTCAACTCCATAACTAGCAGCCAAATTTATTAAATAACAATAGATGTCCTTGAAATTTTGTGCATACTTAGGTAGTGTTTCATTCAATGATTTATTGCTATTTTTTAGTCTTATTCATTCTCATTTGTCTAGTAAGTGAAACCCAATTAGAGTGCTAGGTTGGTAGTCCTCTTATGATATCATAGAACTAATACCAAGTGTTTTCTATTTAATAATTGATTCTGAAATTTGAGTTTTGTAGCTCCTAATACTCTTGGCTTGTCTGTTTGGACAGTTTTGATAGTTCCCATTTGGGTCCGTAATTACATTGAAGACACATTAAAACATAATATTAGGAGTACACAATGGAGAGAACAAATTACACACTAATTTCACGAACATTAGTGCACAATTAGACTATATCATGTTTGAATTTGGATGGATTTAATTAAAAGTCTTATGAAGTGTAGAAATCATCAAGAACCAAAAACAATTCCCTAATGAGTTATTCTTGTGACATATCCAGCATCTTGATTATTCCAACTTAGCTTACAAGACCATATTTTGAAGTATTCATTTTAATTTTTTAAATTTATTATTTAAATGTTACAGACATGCGAGACAAGGTGGGGCCTGAGCATCTCAAATTAACTCAGGTAACCCATTAGCCTCGGGCGACACTTATATGTGTGAGTCTAATCTCGGACCAAATCCAATTTGATTTGAAACCTAACCGAGCCAAATGATTTGGCTTTGTCAACTAAGAGTCTATAACTTGATCCTGTGATTTGAACTTGAATGAGTTCCCAAACCCGATCCTATGATTTGAACTTAAATAAGCAAATTGATTAGTTCAATCAACTAAGAGCCAATTGATTATGGCAACTAGTGATTTAAAAAGTGTTAGACGCTAAGGTCCCAAAATTGCCTAGGTGCCAAGCCCTCGTTTAGGCGCTCGCTCGAGCGAAATGAGGCGCTTTGAAATATTAAAATATATAATCTAATTGATAAATATGATTATATAAATAAAAATATGATATTAAATTAAAAAGATCTAAAGTACCAAGTCATATTATTCATCTTCTAATAACAAAAATGTCAAAAGACTCAAAATAATAAAGTTTTGCATCAAATTCATTCATCATCGTAATCAACTTCATTATTATCAAACATATCATCATCATTTTCTTCCTTTTGTCCTTTATCAAAATATGTTTCCTCTTCTTTAATAATGACAGGAGATGAGCTTAAGGCTTTTGAATTCATTTTTCTTTTGTTATCTATCTTGTATATGTCTGTAATTCTCCGACACCTGAGGCTGTTGCCACATCTCCCCATGTCAAGCTATTATCTTCAAATACAAGCTCATCTTCGGCATCTTGTAAGTTTGCACCTATTTCTCTCACCAACCACTTATCTTTAATGCTTGATTATACTTTATATAAACAAGATCATATAATCGTTGATGCTTTAATCGATTTTTTCTTTTTGTGTGAATCTATCATATCATATAATTTAAAAAATATATTAATAAATATATTAAAAAAATATATTAATTGAAATAAGAATATTATGCTATCTTTACATGCTCAAGGGTACTTCAGTTTTGCTCACAACCCGTAACATTATATGTCAAATTAAGAATTTTGATAGTCAATAGCTGTAAGTTCGGAGTGGAATTTTCAAATAGACTCCACCATTTAATTATAAGATTTATTTTATTATTAAAAATAACATAGTAACATTCTATAGATGAAATTAATTATATCAATTTATTAATACCTCGGGATATAGTTGTTATAAATTGAACTACTATTGGAATTTTAAAAAGATCTTTAATATTCTTATATGAAGATAATTCACTTATGATCTTATCTTGCATCTCAAGGTTTGAAACCAATTTTGCAATGTACTGATATAACTCATTTATAACTTTTGCATCAAACCTAATGGAAGTATTCTTATAAAAAAAATCTGGGTTCAAATAATGTCTTGCTGTATGTAATGGACAATGAAGTTGATAATTCTATCTTTCGTCACTGATTGTAAATATTTTCATATACTTTTCTTCATTTCCATTAAAAGATTTTTGAATCGTCTCCTTTGCTCTATCTATAGCATCGTAAATATATCCCATTGCAAGCTTATTTTTATTATCCCTTAACCAAAGGACTCGAACAAGAGAGCCCATTATCTTTAATGCATAAACTATAAGATTCCAAAAGGATGACAATAAGATAATATCGTTGGCCCTTTTGCCTTTAGCTTTTTTTTACTCATTTGCTTGTTACCCATTTCTCAAAGGTAAATATGTTTATCAAGTTATGCTTTTGATGATGCACACTCTGTATTGTCAAGAAGGAAGTAGCAAATCGGGTGATACTATATTTCACGAATTTTTTGTTGTTTGTGAATTCTCTTATTATATTTAAAGCCTTAGTATGATTGTAGAGAAATCCAACAACAAAGATTGCCCTTTCTAAAGTTTTCTTGATTTCAGAAACATTTTTAATATCTTTCAGCATTAAATCAATGCAATATGCCGTACATAGAGTTCAATATAAGTGTTATTTTTTTGCTTTCTGTAATTTACTTAAGATAAAAGATAAAAAAATTCATAAGACCTAGGAATCTCATAGTTCTTCTATTCAAATTAGAGTTAAAGTAATTAAAAAATTAAAAGATAAATATTAGGAGCTAACATATAGTTGTTTTCATTATTGGCTATAACTTGAACAATATTTTGTTCACCAATTTCTTTCACAAACTTATCAAGCAAATCATATATCTTTTCTCTAGATTTCACAAAAGATAATGTATCTATTAACTTCACAAACATGGTTTTTAAAGAACAGTTAATTATAAAATTAATTATACTCTTATATCTCTTGTCGGTCCAAGCATTCAACATAATAGAGTAACCATGCTTTACCTATGATTATTTATGACCCTTTAATAAGTCATTTATATAATCCAACTCTATTTTTGGTAATGAAACTCGTATCTATAATAACTTGATAGTTTTAATCCCTCACAATGTTTTTCAATAACTTCAATCATCTCTTTAAAACTATCTAAACGAGTTGTACCAAGGGGAAGGTTAGCTTGATAAAAGAAATGAACAATATGCTAAATTGTTCTTCTCCTTAATTTCTTATCATGAGCATCATTTATATTTGTTTGTCTTAATTTTCTTCCTGCTTGCCCTTATTGTTTCTATGATCCTTGGTACATAGATAAGTCTATGCATCCCTTTTTACCCTTCTTAATAACCATAACTTCTTTTTATTTTCTGTCTCGTACTCTTTTCTCATTTGAATTGATATTTTTAGAATAATCTTTTTCTTCGTCTCTATTATGTTTAACACTATCCTCTGTTCTCGTAGTGGATTGTAACCAATGATTATGTCCTCGCTAGCCATTATGCCAACTATGACCCTTAATCCAGGGGTTTAAAGATGCGCTCGCCTCGACGCTTGGGTGAGGCGAGGTTAGGCCCGAGCACCTTAGGCCTCGACCAGGCATTGGGCACCTCGGGCGAGCACTTGGTTCAAGTGACGCAACCAAACTAAACAAAAGTCTGGTTCAATTGAATAATAGCTAGTTGGTTTGATTAAAACAATTAAGCTCGAGTGAGCACCCGATTCAAATGAAGTAATCGAACCAGACTTTTAAGTTTGGTTCGGTTGAACAATAGCTAATTGGTTTGAACCAACTAAGCTACATACTATTTTTATACCTAGCCTGCCCTCTCCATGTGACCTTGAGCAATATACCCTACCATAGTTGTTGCCTTTATTATCGATGCTTTGCTTCCTTTGTCGTTGCCTCCGTTGATGCATAGGATCGATGCTTCCTTTATCGCTAACGGATGGGTCCTACGACGTAGCATTCGTGCGCGATTCTCTTCGTCGCTATTGCTTTCGTGTGCAGCTCCTTCTATTGTTGAGGGAGAGGACTGTTGGGAAACTTGGGGTAGTATCATATGCACAGCAGAAGAACAAAAAACAAAAATCTCAGATTTCTCGTAGAAAATAGTTTCTCATTGTCGTGCGAAGATTGGTGCGTAAAAACTCACAAAACCGAAAAACTGTGCATATATAAAAAATATGTTATATAGGGAGATTGTATATCCCTATAAATCTGCAGATCTATGAGAGAGGATGAAGGAGGTCAATTGTCCTCCTCTCTAGCGGTGATTCATATGATAGATGTGATGAAGACGCTCTTCAAATCGCTATATAATCCCCCTCTTCACGCTCACCACGTGATCAAGAAGGGGCTGACTCTTTTTGCTGTCCACATACCCCAAGCTGGGGCTGTTGGCTGAGGAGGAGAGAGAGAGAGAGAGGAAAATAGGAGGTGGCAGCCAATAAGGGTCTAGCTTGTGGCCCCTTTGGTTCCCTCCTATTTATAAAGATCTTTATCAATTTAACCATAATGGATCATATCTTATTGGGTATTGGATCTCCATCTAACTACCAAAGACTCCTGGATTAGTAGATTTATATCCAATTAACTTTCATTGGCTTTTTATTGGATCATATCCACAAGATCCAATAATTCAAGGGTTTATTGGATATTCAATAAGATAGGGGTTCTAACGGATATCTTATATCTGAATCATTACTCGTCGTAACACTTATCATATGTGTGACCCTCTAGGCCTAATATCGAGTTGATTGTGAATTATACCTATCAAAACTTCTTGACTCAGTGAATTATTATCTTTATAATAATTCATTCGACGACTACGAACGTACTAGGCTATTATGCCGCAGTCCCCAAACGATATAGGGGAATCCAATCCACTGGACCTATCTGTCCTCAGTTATTGTGTATCTATAGTTCCTCATTCATTTAATATCCCAGAGATCATATATCGGGCATGGTGCTATTAGGCCAATACGAAATTTGTCTCGCTCTAATCAGATTTTTCCAAAGAATTATTTTTCTCTTAATCTGAATGACCCTAGCCAGGGATTTACCTGAGCAAGAACACATAAGAT